CGCTCGCCTGGGCGGGGCAGGTGGCGGCGACCTCGAATCACCCCTTCTAACCCCACCTCCACCTGCGCGACGAGGTGGCGTCGGCGGGCTGTGGTCCCTCCCGGATCTCCTACGTGAAGGAGAAACAGAAGCCCGCGCACGGTGGGGCGGCGATCGTGAGGGAGACCTCGAGGGGCTGCGACGCCTGGCGCGGCGTCGCGAGTCAACGGAGCCCTCGTCTGACGAGTCGGAATCGGAGTCGGATGATGAGTCGGAGGTGGTTGTGTCCGAGTCTGACGAGTCTGAGTCTGAGGACTCAGCTTCAAGCATGGCGCGGCGTTGTTCCATGATCATCTTCGGGGCGTTCTGCAAGAAAGGCGATCAGGGCCAGCTACAATGAGAGGAATGATAGAAGACGAACCTTAAGGTATTCTCTCATTTCCTCTGTCAACACTCCCAAACCGATGCTCGTAAAGTAGTTGATCGAGAACCTTGTATTCTTCGGCACATCCATTGGGAACATGCCATGACACCCCTGCTTCACCTCTGGATCTTTGAACCTCTCCGCCAACGCCTTCAACCCCATGCTCTCTGTCATCTCCTGCATCATGATCTTGACGAAGATACGGCTGCTACTCGTCGTGTCATCCTCGTTGATCTTGACACACTCAAGCGCGAGCCACGAGATGGCGTCGGTCGCCATGAGGTGTCCAAAGAAGTGGGCAATGTTGCGCAGCCGGTTCGTTTCATAACGATGGATGGTGGTATAATAGTTGGAGAAAGCTTGCTCGAAGCAATCTGTCCAGACTCGGTTGAGCTTGCTGAATCGCTCGCCGACAAGGCCGTAGAAGGTGGAGTAGGAGCGCTCTTGGGAGCAACACTCGATGATCATGTTGACGAGTTCAATCTGAGAGGCTGATTAGGGTGGCTGCGAAGGAGGCGAAGATAAGTTACAAACTTCTTGCCCTGCTTCCAATTGAATTTTGAGGAGTTTGTGCACGGCTTCTTCGTAATTGAGGGCATTCATAATCGTTAGGTAGATGATACGGCGCAGGTTGACCAAATTCGTTTCAGTCCTGTCCTCGATACCTTCCTTCGTATAGGCCAAGCTTAATAAG